TAGTCCAATTCCACTTTTGAGTAAATATACAAAAATTAAAAGTAAGAATTTGAAGATATATTTGTAGACCCATGTCCATAGCAACATTATTCACTTGGTTGTAGAAGCAACCCAAGTATTTATCAACAGATGAACAAATAAAATGTAGTATACACACACAATGGAATATTATTCAGCATTAAAAAGTATGGAAATTTTGACACATACTACAGTATGGGTGAATTTGGGAGGCAGTCACAAAAGGACACCTCCTCTACGATTCCACTTGTGTGAGGTACCAAACATACACAAATTCATAGAAACAGGAAGTAAAACAGTGGTTTCCGGGAGCTAAAAGGAAGGGGACGGGAAGGTTCTGCCACCAGATGAAGAATTCTGGAGATGGAAGGCAGCGATGGTGAGGACAGCTGCCTGCAGTGTGAGTGAACGTATTTAATGTCTACACGGGCCGGAAAGCAAGACTCACGAGAAGATGAAATGTTTAAACTCATAGTCCTGATGAAAATAGTACTTGTATTTTGACAGAGAATAGTTTCCTGAAATCCACTGCTACTGTTTCTTCCTGCTTACTTTTATGAGGTAATATACATTAACACAATACTTCTGATTAGAATGCCACTGAACTGTAAACTTAAAAATAATGAAGTAAATTTTATGAGTGCTTTATCACAATTACAGAATGATTCCAAACATTCAAACAGCCAAATGATAAGACCAACAGTAACCGAAGGAGTAATAATAAGATTGATGGTTTTCTTCCTCATAGATGAAATAGGAGCTGAGACAGAAAACTGAGGGATGACCTCTTGAAAGTTCTATAACCAGTAAACACAAAGTCCACAAAAGTAGATGAGTTACTTTTGAAAAAGTAAGAACAGACAAAATTGATTTCTGGTCCATTGGCAGGAAAAGAAATACCAAAGAGATTCCCTCAGGCGTAAACAAAGTAATCTCACAAGAAAAATGTAGATGTGCGAGAACAAAGAGAGGGCAGCAGAAAAGGTAAATATACAGTTAAATTGAAATGGATGTTGACCACACAAATTTTAACAGAAATACACTGAGTGGTACTTATGATAACTGAAGAAAAATATATCACAACAGCAATGGCAAAAGACTGAACAAAAATTTTCCATGAATCTATATCAAGGAATTGCTAAAAGTAACTGTGTTAGACCATAACAATTCAAGGACAAATGTTAAGATCTCATTAGTAACCAGTGTATGACAGAAAAGATGCATATCTGATAGTACAGAAAAAATCAGAATAATAATAAGTGCCTAATCAATCAAAATTCCCAATGAAAGCAATAATGGAGAGAAAAAGGAATATAAGACAGTGAATTCAAGAGACAACAGATAAGAATGTGGTAAACTTAAACTCAACTACTATACCAGGCATTAAATATAAATGGACTACATATTCCCAGTAAAGCTTAATGTTATCAGACTAGATTTCTTAAAAATTCTACTTTATGATGTTAATAAGACACTATACATGCATGAATATTGAAAGAAGGATGCAAAAAGAAAGAACGATACAAACATCACTCAAAAGGAAGCTCCCAATATTTGTGCTAAAACCAGGGAGTGGATTTTCAAGGAAAAAGCATTATTAGAGACAAAAAGGAACATTTCACAATGATAAAGTAGCCCATATATAATGCAAATGTTCATTGCAGTTGTCATTTGGGTAGTTCAGCAAGAGATTTTATGTTCTTCATCATACTTTTATATATTGTTTGAAATGTTCACAGTGAGTATGCATTATTTATGCACCCTAATATAAATCAACAATGCTATTTTTACCGTGAGAAGAAAAAGGAAGAAGGCAACATAAATTGAGAATAATTCCTTCCTAAATAAAAAGTCAAAAATGATTTGGTATCAATTACAACCTGGAAAATTAAATTTATACTGCTAGGGTAAGAAAAATAAAAGTGGGATTAATGAGAATTGGATGGAAAAATGTCAGAAATGTTTCATAATCTCATTTCCTCTTAATTTGTTTACTTAAGGATTCAAAAATCAGGTACACTGAGTACATTTTTTTGCAAACAGATGATAAAGCACAACTTTATATAAGTGGGAATTATTCAAGGAGGGATATACTGATTTATTCATTACCCCAATAATTTCCTAGAAATGCACCTATGTGCTGGATATTGCTTGAAATTATTTGTGAGGCAAATAAGAATATCTGTCAGCCTCATGTGGGAAATAATTTATTTGATTAACAAATGTAAGAATAATAGGCCATGTATATCTGATCAGATTATACAAAAATAAATTTCCTTAATTAATGTACACTAAATTGAATTAGCTATTCAAATTAAGGAAGTCAGGATATTTAAAACAATGATATTATGAGAATAAGTAAAACTAATTTAAAAATAATTAAACTACCCACAGATCAATTTGAAAAACAAAGCTTTACCACTGGGACAATGGTAGAAAAGGAGGTAAAATAAAAATTAAAGGCAAGTAAAGTCACTATACTGAAAAAGATTCCCAGAACTATCTAACTAACCTTCAGAGTTGGTTTGGCTCCATTGGTGTCCCAATTACTAACTCGTTGCAATGTTCAAAAGCCTTTTATCTTTCATTTATCCTCCCCCTGGACTTTTTAACAGCCTTCAGCACTGCTGACCCTTACAGTCTAATTGCTTCCTTAATTTTTTGTAATAAGAACAACACAAAAATGGTGCTGTAAATTGGTTTGCCTGTTATTTCAGGTTACTGCTCAGTTCCTGAGAGTCGAGCCCCCTTTTTTCAAACACAATTTTGATGACTGAATATTGATGATCCTCATAATTCTGTGTATGTTTTTAATCTAATTAAATTGGTAGCTTCGACCCTCTTTCAACAGACAAGTTAGCCCTTAGCTCTTAAATCCTAGACCCCCAGTTCTGTGGACATGGTCACTTTGTTTATGTTACAGGCACATGGATTTTTCTTCCCTATCTAAAGTTTCCATTTTAACAGCCAATACTGAAAGTTAACTGCTCCTCTTTTAATATTCTAGATCTAAAATACAGGGATCCCTGTTCATCCATCCAAACTATATATGTAGAAAACCAGTTGAAGAAGACACTTTTTTTCAAATCAAGGTCTTCTTTCTTGTCTCTACTGCCAACACTTTAGTTTGCACTCCTGAGATTCTCCACTTGGATCATCCGAGGTACCAATTTCCTGGTAGCTCACCACCAGCCTTGCTCCCAATAGACTCCTCTCATACTGCTTCCCCGACATTCCCCCCTTTTTACAACTCTTTTTAAATTACTGAATTTTTCTTTAAATTATAGACTTCATGATTTCTTTCTAAGCCAAAACTGATGTCGACTATTACCAAGCTATTTCTAATGATATTTGCACAATTTTCTCTCCTTCATTATGAAGACAACCTAGCTGAGCTATCTGAAAAGCCTCTGAAGTTTGAAGGTGCTTTCCTCCTCCTCACAGTGTAAGCATGACAATCGAGGTGAAAGAACAACCGAAATGGATAAGCCAAGTGCACTGGTGGCCAATAGCTTACATTATAAAAATGTTTTTCATTTCTACAGAGTTAGCTATTGCTTAGTCTTCTTCCTATTAAAATGTGTGGTTCTAACTGTGTAAATACTTAATGAACTTTACATATGAGGTATTTATCACGCATATTTGCTAGTTATTAAACTTCAAAGAACTCTGAAAAGGAACAAACCAGTTGCCTCATGTAATTCTTGTTAAGCAACTGAAACACAATTTTACCTATTTTCTATAGTATAAATGTCTACTGCTGTTGAATCTTTTTGGTGGTACTGAGATTTGAACTCACAGCCCCTGTTCTGACCCCCACCCCACCCTTTATTTATTATTGTTGTTTTGAGGTTGGAACCTGCTAAATCACTTAGTCGCGCAGGCTGGCTTGAATTTGAAATCTTCCTGCCTCAGCCTCCCAGAATATTAGGATTAGAGGTATGCTATAGAATTTTAAATATAAAGTAACTTATTCATAATTTCTGAAATGTTTTGATTGGAAAACAACCATTATTTTTTATATTGGTTATAAGCATATTTTAATCCACATTACCACTGAGGAAAACTGCTAAATTAAGAACTGCATTGTTTTATCTTGAAAAAAATTGCACTTTTATATTACATATACATGTAAATAAATATATGTGTAATTTTAACATGTAATATCAGTTTTTCTTTGCAAACACAAACCATTATTCATTGAAATATCAGAAATATGGGATGCAAATACTAAAATCCTTTTAATTTGAAACTTTTTGATTCTATTACAATTGTCAAGATACATTTGAAAACAAAAGTAACTCCAGCCACTTTAATATGAAGTAATGAGATTTTTGAAAGCTTTTTCTTGCCATTCAAATAATCTTATTTACCCTTCCCACGTTCTTAAGCCTACTTTTTATAAATTCATGGAAACACTGAATGGTGTTATCATTAAGCCTCCAATTTTCTTTCTTGAAAATGTCAGGGAATAACTGATAAATGGAAAGTCCTTGCTTTGTGCCTGGATTTCATTTTAGCATGATCTTGAAGTTTTGGCACATAACCTTCAAAAGTGAATTAATTTCACTCTGTCTCTTAAAAGCATTATTATAAAACAATTTCTGTTCATAGTTTATGAAAGGAGTTAATACATTTACATAGTGTTTAAATATATCACAAGATACAAGGAGATTTACTGACTCTTTATGAAAGAGGAGGTACTGAAGTAGGCTCTAAAAGTAAGTCCTTAGAAAGGACACAATATTTATATTCATATTTCTGAAAAGAGTAATTTCATTATTACTGACAGAAAACGAGTTTCCTAAAATCCATAGTTGCCATAGCTTGTCCTTAATTATTTGTGTGATGCCATATAGGTTAACACAAATACTGCTAAATATAAATTTAAAGTTATAAGACTATTTGGTCATTAGAGTAAAATCCCCAGAACACTACTGAATTCTATATACTTAAGCATAATAAAATAATGTAGTATCTACTTGCTAGTTATTCCTGTCTCTGCAGACTTCTAGGTTGTGACCACTTTGACTTGCATTTTTTTCATGTAGCGGGCTCCTAAAAAAAAAAAAAAAAAAAAGAAAATTTAAAAGATTTTAATTAGCTGCACTTATAAATTAACAAATGCATCTAAATGAACATAATAAACAAGATGGGGACGTGAAGTGTTAATGAGAGGCACTTCTAGCTGTCAGGTTACACCTCCTATCAAAGGCCACCCACCTCAAGCATTGGGGCTGTAGGTGCCTAAACCCAGGTGTGACAAAATGATGATGCTGTTGTCCAACTTTGTCTCTTATAGCAGCACTTGAATACCTGCAAGGAAAACGCTTTGCTAGGGACAGTCCCTCTTGCCTGTCTCGTTATGAATAACTACATAATAAGTGGGAAATGCATTTTCTGTCCTTTAGAAAATTACAAACATAATTTGTTTTTCAAATTCTCCACACTTTATACTCTGGCAGGTCAGAGTTATTTTCTCTTCTCCCGATTATTCCATTTGAATAAAGTTTTATATTCTCACCACTGTCTCTCGAACAGTGATTTGGTAATTCCCAGGGATCATTAAAACAAGCAAAGAACTTCCACACGATACTTATACACAGGCAGGTACTCCCAGCTTAATGTACTCTATGTATCATAATTAAAATAACGGAGCCCAAAATACCCTTGTGCATTTTTAGAGACCAAATTTACTTAGAAAGTAGACTTTCATGAGACAGATGTAGATACGCTGATTTTATATTGAAATTATACTAATTCGTGGTTGATAAGAGAAATAAAGAAAGCAATACACCTTAAAAGTTATTCACCAAAATCTCAACATAAAATCTTTATATCATATCTATACACCCCAAATCTCTATATAATCGTTGAATGTGTAGGTCAGAAATAAAGGGAACCTTTATTTAGTGGTGAAAGAGAAACATGGGAATAAGGTGGACTATTCTAAGAGAAACTCTGCTATCTTCGTTATAGTGCAGTGTTGCAATCAAGGATTTTAAGAGCTGTAAAAATATGCAGAAACTATTCAAGGCCTGCTTAATAAAGCCAGTTGCACAAACAACAACTTAGATATTAAAAAAAAAAATTCTTCTTGAAAAGAGAACTCCAAAAGCCATTGTGGAATAAAACTACAGTGACAATATATAAATAGCAGTTAAGATGATGAAGATTATACTTATTTAATTGATGCAATTATTTTTTTGTTGTTGTTCAGAACGCAGAGTCTTAGAACATAACAAGCTTAGCAAATGGTATGCTTAGGCTGAAGTAATTTTCTGATTACAAATGCATTATTAAAGTGAGATTGAATGCATCAGTTAAAAAGTAAAATTGAAAAACCAACAATAAAAATGTGAGAGGAATTAAGGTTTTATTTTAATTTAAAGTCCTTCTAGCCTTGAAACTTTATATAGAAAAAAAATCCATATTCCTTATCATGCCCTCAAATTAAAAATTGATTCTCTGCCCCCCAACTTTACCCCCAGCGGTCTTTCTTTATGCAATTTAGGAGCAAGCTGACTGACCACATGCTGCACCCCTCCCTTCCCTCACCCCATGTATCTTTGTTCCTATTCCCCACCCCACCATCATCTGCCCTGTCCTACTGATGCCTGTGTGTCTGGTCTCACTACTCCCTTCAAAGTCCAGATGCAACCTTCCGTTTCCAGGAGGCAATCTCCACCCTCCAAACTTCCATTACTCTATCTCCCCTAACACCATGCCACACATTACAGCTACTAATGTTTCCTCACATGAAATGATGAACCTGCCAGTGCTTTCCTCCCCGATTTTTCCTTGTATTTCTACAAAATTCAGAACAATGTATTTCAGACTAAGCACTTCATTTTCTCCTCTCTCCCTCTCTCTCCCCCTCCCCTCCACTTTGACTGAATCAATTTGAACATAGAATAAGGTGGAGAAAATTAGGTTGTTAAAAGAAGGGAATTCCTTTTAGAGGGACGCTTGATTTTGCTGGGAAAATTCCTCAGTGCACCTATCCTGCTGGCACAGAAGCAGATGCTCAGAGCAGCTGTGTGTGGGACCAGGAGAGTCTTCTCAAGGGAAGAGAAAAGGTCAGTGCTATCGTGTGGATCAGGAGTCCCCCCAGGCCAGCCCCTCCTGTTAATGGCTTTATCACCATGTGTGGCATGACTGGCAGGTATCAGAGCCTTTAGGAGATGAGACCTAATGGAAAGAAGTTAGGTCCCTGGGTAGTAGCCCTACAAAAGGATGTTGGGGCCCCAGATCTCCGCTCCTCTTCCCAAATATAGCCTGAGCTGAGCAGCTTCCTCTCCTACCTGCTTCCACCATGATGTTCTACAAGCCCTATCACGACCCCAAGTGCAATGTGAGAAGAACCCACGGACTACAGTCGCTGAAACCATGAGCCAAAATAAACCTTTCCTCCCTATAACTGATTGTTTCGGGTACTTTGTCACAGTGAGAGAAAGCTGACTACAGAGTCTGGAAACAAGGTGAACTGGTAGCCCCTCTATATAACATATCTTTCTCTATATTTCTCTTTTTGTAAATATTACTAGGAAATATCTGGTATGACGGTGTTGGCTGAGCTTAATGTTCAAGTTGACAAAGGGTCAGAATGGTAACAGGCAGTGGTAGTCTCCAGAATTAGTAAGATTTCTGGCAAGACTCCAAGCAACACTCTTAGGATAATGTCTCATCACAGTAAGCAATCTTCTATTGCTATTAAGATTTTGCAGTAGGAATTCTTGTTTGGGGAAAAAGGCTGAATTAATGTTTAACAGTTAAATCTATTTTCCAAAATCCAAACCCCTTGATTAGTTCCATACCAGATCACAGGCAGATTCTAACTGTGTAATTTAAATAACCAAGGTTTGGCTGCAATACTCATGAACATTGTTGAAAGTATTAAAAAGGCCACTGGGCAGTCCGATTAAATACCAGTTGATGTGGATTAGGTCGCAGAATAAAAATAGAATTTTTTCCTGTAAAATGGCAATAATAATTGACTTTGTATGTCTCATACTTTTTGTTTTAATAATATAAAATCTTTTAAGCTAAGCACTCTCCTCAGGAGAAAGGTTATATGGCATTTTTTATGATAATAAAATTATAACCCAAAATATATCATTCCCCAAGAAATTGATAAAAAATCAATTCTTATGTTCTTTACTTTTGATGATCTTGCTGCCATTCTTTTGAAAATAAAAATTTCCCCTCTACATTCAGGCAGATTCACCATTTGATACACTGAAGGGAATAAAATTCAGAATTTAGAAAAATGGATGTTTGCATTATGTATTATTTTAAAGATGAATAAGCTTGCTCTTGACTCTGCAAACCACTGGAATTCAACCCTGCAATGGCTAGGTGACTACAGCTGAAATTACAAAGTGAAAAACAACAAAAATTATTATGGTTATAGTCGAGTCCAGCACATTTGTGTTAAAAGTTCCCTTCCTCTAAATCAAATGAAATGCTTTAGAAACCTAAATAATAAAGTATTTTTTCAGTGCTATCTCTGGCCTTGTTGGTCCAGCGAACACTTGGCAAAGTGTCTAAGCCTCCAGGTGAAAGTCTATTTTAAAAGACCCATGAAGAAAGCTTCTATATAGCAGTATTGTTTGAAAACCTTTCACAAGGACCCTTGCTTTGGGCTATAATTCTCGTTTTGTGCCATTTCTGGCTTCTGGTTTGCTTTCAGCCAGCACGCTAGAAATTAAGTTTGCTCGCTGCATGCCCTAATCACGGGACACCCCCAGACTCCACTGTACGTCTTTCCATAGCACGCACTCCTCACTGTGGTCCTTTGCTCCCCACACTCTCCACGTCTTTCTATGGCCCAAGCTGCTTTTCCCCTGGGTTGACTTGCCTCTGACAAAAGGAGAAAGCGTGTCTTACAAGTCCCTCGGGTAGAAGTTCTCACTTAAAACACGGACTCCCTGGGGCAAGGGCCTTATTCAGTCGTGGCTCCATCAGTGCGTGAGACTGTAAATGCTGCAGTATTTAAGACACGCTGCCACAGCACTTGAGATATGACTGAAGTATGTGAAATAGATCCAGATCTGGATCCCAAGCATCATAATTACCAGTTACACCTTTCAAATATATAACACATGTGTCTAAACATTCATTAAGATTAATCCTTCACATCTAAAGGGTACAGTAGGCATACTTGACAATATAGAAGTTTCTGATTTTGGTTTCCAAATCCTGCATTAAAAAAATTCCAGGGGCTTAAATATCAAGAGTGCTTTGAAACTGATATTGAATTCACCAAGAACTTTAGCTCAGCTTCATGGTTAATGGTCTCTTAGTGTATCTGTGACCTGAGTACTAATAACCATGGACTATTTAACACAACAATGTTCTGGGAGCTTATAAAGCACAGGCACTGCATAGTAAAACACCTCAATGAGTGCTATTCAGAACAAAAATTATGGTCCAGAAAAATTTAGGTTGAATTATAGGACTGAAAGACATTTTAAATAGTCACAGTCAGTTCATGATTTTAGGAATAAATGAGCACCACAGTCAGCCTTGGGCATGAGAATCTACCATATTTTGAAGGTCACCATTTTCTTCAGAAAATCCATTAGGATTTGCTGTCATATCTCGCAGGTGCCTGACCTATAAGACCAGAGTTGAAGGCTTTCAGGAAGCCTGGGACCGTGCCCCACACAGAACCCGTAAAATCTCGAAGGAGCTGAGCTTATCATGGCAGAAGATAACTATGAACCACGCCATCTAAAAGCAGGGGTGAGAAGTCCACACATGAAGGTTGTTAGAAACAAACTAGAGAGGAAGACAGAATTCCTGTTATGAGACTAAGGCCACCAGGGTTCTGGATGGACTCAGGGATACAAGATGAATGTGCCCCCCAGGACAGTTTATCATGCGGGGGCAGGCATCCAAAGCAGAGCCAGATATAACCTGAGAGGAGACAGAAGACACCTCTGCATGCCGCCAGGCCCTGGAAGAGGCACTCAGAACAATCCTGTGGTTCACAGAAGGATTCCCATTCCCTTATTAGTAAAAGCCCTCGCTGCGACATCTGCCACCCAGCCGCT